TCCCAAGAAGCACTATCTATGATATAATCAAACGTGTTGAGAATGATTCTGGGCACAAAAGAGTGCAAGAAAGTGGTCGTGCGGCCAAAATCATGACCCCTAAGAGGATCAAGCGCCTGAAAGCCATATTTGATCACAGTGACCGAGTTTCGATGAGGCAAGCTGGTCGAAAATTTGGATGCAGTCATTCACATATCATTAAAACTCTTGCCAAGTACACTGACATCAAAAGTTATACAAAACAGGGTATACCTCATCGACAAGAGAACCAGAATGAGCGAATCAAAACTGGCATTGATCGTCTTTATCGCGTTTTTAAAGGAAAATTGGTCATCCTTGACGATGAGTCTTACTTCACGCTGTCACACTCAACAATTAATGGAAACAGCACCTACTACTCTAGCAACAGAGATAAGACTCCACCAAGTGTTAAATATCGCAAAAAGCGCAAATTCGAACCCAAGGTGCTTGTCTGGCTGGCCGCTTCTGACAAAGGTGTTTCAAAACCATTTTTTATACCCAGCGGCCTTGCAGTCAATAAAGCAATCTATGAAATGAATTGTATTAGGAAAAGATTAGTGCCGTTCATCAACGCTTATCATGCCGATGGTAATTACATATTTTGGCCGGACCTGGCTTCATCGCATTATGCCAAAACCGTGACCAGCTGCTACGAGACTCATAACATCAATTTTATCAAAAAAGTTGACAATCCGCCAGCCGTACCGGAGTGTCGCCCAATCGAAGACTTTTGGGCTATTTTGAAAGGCAAAGTGTATGAGAGTAACTGGCAAGCAAAAGACGTGAAACAACTACAAACCAGAATAAAGCTTTGCCTGAAAAAAATTGACCTTAACCTTGTATTTTCACTTTTAGGGTCAACTCGTGTTAGAGTTGGCCGAATCCGAAGAAACAGACTGGTTGAAGACAAACTTAATTAAAATAAATAAATAACTAAAAACTCTTTTTAATGATAGTTTTATTTAATCTCTACCATAAAAACTTTGGGAGTAATTGCACTTGAAAGTTTGTCCGGATTTTTAGTAACCACCCGTTAACAAAAAATAACTAATTAAAAAAACATAACAATTGTCAACTTTGTTTTTATATATTGGATAAATACGTCATGATAAATCTGAAATAAAAAAGTAATGTAAAGTAAATCACATTTAAAAATTCAAAATCAATTTATCTGTTCATTTATGGTAACCTTTTGTGATATTGAAGTAAATTCTATTTATTGAAAAGATAACTATAAAATTTGTTTCAAAGATCAAAAGCAATAAAAATACTAAAGATAAAATTAAATTAAGACATAAATTGGGTTTATAGTAAAATGTTTTCTTGGCTTTTAGTGAATGATTTAAACGAGTAAGCCTCTGTAGTAAAAGTACCTGTTATTCATAACAGGTACTTTTACTACAGAGTAAAATTTGCAACATAAAGTTTGACCAACAAAGTATATCTAAAAAACCGTGTTTTTTAGATGTACATTAACTTTATCAAACGTTTGACCTTAAATTCTGTTTTAATTAAATATGACAATAAAACTGATAACGCTTTAGAACGAAAATTAAATTTGAACCTAATGGAGCTACGCTGTTTAAAATCTGAACAGGAAAGTTATTTTTTTCATTAAGTTTATCAGTCACAATTCCATCAGCACTTAAATACAACTTAACTTAACTTAATTTTTTTATTTCATTTCTTCATTGAATAATAATGGAGCCACATTAGTGGGTATTAAAATTAATACTTAAAAAAACAATGGGGCTTCACAGAATAAAGTTGTTTTTTATTTTTTTTCTACAGATAATACCAACTTTGTTTTGGAACTTTTACAAATAAACTATTTTTTTTTTTTTTGTACTTTATTTGGTTTTGCTTTTTTTGTCCTCCAATTTAGTTTTTTTTTAATTTTAAATATTGTCAGCCATTATTGTTTGTTATGATGGCACAGGTAACTAACTGATTTATAAGGCTAAGTCTGCATTTACGCAAAAGTTAATTGATACAATCTAGATTAGGCAAACCTAGTACTATAAACATATTTGTACTATAAACACATTTTAGCACATTTCTTGTAACAAGAGTCTAGCTTTCGAGCATTTCTTGAATCAACTGATTAATATGTTTGTATGTGTATATAGACATTTCTCTCAATTTATACCAGCATTATTAAACAAACCATTTTCTATTTTTTGACCCAAATACTTGAATTTGTCAATTAAAACTAATTTACATTCAGCTAAGGTAAACAGTGGAAAATTGCTTGATACAATCTTACTTCTCTGTTTTAGTTTAAAGACCATACACACCTTTTTTTTTGTATTAAATGACATGGTAATGACAGTGGCTTCAACATTTAATGCACTTAATAATTTTTCCAATGCAAATTCTTGGTTTGCATTGGAAAAGATTAGTACAATATTGTCGGTATATGATTACAATATCGTCGGTACAAGATTAGTACAATATTGTCAGTATATGCCAAAAGATTCAAAAAAGTTCTATCTATGTTAAATCCAATATGTATTTTGGTAATATTGAATATCAGTGATCTTATATAAAATATAAACAAGAACGGTGAAAGAATATTAGAGTTTACTTTCTGCCATATGACAAACATAGTTTGATTCTTGTACCAAGATGCAAGTAGACAGAAAACATTCCTGGCAATACCCTGATCAATTAAGTTAGAAAACAGTTTCCATTAATTAAAGCTATCAAAAGCTTTAATGAAATCTATAAAACATGTGAATACATGGCTTCCTCTAGAAATATAGTATTTAACTGTCTTTTTTAAATAATATGTACAAGACATTCTCATGAGATTCAATTCTTTCTAATAAAATATGTTCAAGTATTTTAGAGCAAGCAGGAGAGATTATGATTGCTCTGTAATTATATACATCTGTTAAGTCTTCAATTTCAGATTTTACTAGAGGTATTATCGTGGCTTCACAAAATTTCAAGGGCAAATCTCTATACAACAATTTCTAAGGCAAATCTCTATTTAAACAATTTAAAATGTATTCTACAAAATAGAGTGCTCAATGTTTTTATAAGAACAGAGCAATTACAAATTAGTAAAAAATCATTTAGCAAAAAAAAAAAAATTTTTGCCATGTGATTTTCAACTAATTTATATATATATATATATATATATATATATATATATATATATATATATATATATATATATATATATATATATATATATATATATATATATATATATATATATATATATATATATATATATATATATATATATATATATATATATATATATATGTATATATATATATATATATATATGTATATATATATATATATACATATATATATATATATATATATATATATATATATATATATATATATATATATATATATATATATATATATATATATATATATATATATATATATATATATATATATATATATATATATATATATATATATATATATATATATATATATATATATATATATATATATATATATATATATATATATATATACAATAGGGGTAATGATTAATTGATTATAAAAGGATTGCTTTATAATAGCATAGCTTCAGACAATATTGAGACATTTATAGTCATCAGACAATAATATTTTAAATTAAGTATATGGCAAATTTATGAATGAATGATTTTTTAGTTTTAAAGTTGTTGTTTTTTTACAAAAAAATGTTCATAGTTTATTTATTACATTTTAATTAGTTTTTTAGATCGTTCATAGAAAAAACGATGTTTAGAAATACAAATTTTGTTTATGTGCTGTAGGCAAAGATTTTGTTTAAAACGGCAACTTGTTTAACAAAATGAGTAGACAGTTTACATATGGTTGTTTAACCTCTACGAGAAATAAGCATTTAGTTCTCCAGTAGTAGGGGTGGTGTATTTCAATATTTAATTGTAATATACTATGAACTATACAAAACTATACAAAAGTTTCTGTTGCTAATTTAGTAGAGCCTTTATTTTTATTATGATAATTTTTTAAAAGCTCTGAATACTCTCGGCAAGTTTTACACCATATTAAAATTACTTCACTTGAATCATCAGTTTGAAATTCGTCGGATTTAAACCTGCATTTTTCAATGACAGTTCTGTTAGGCATTATGACTTGTTTTGAGTCTGCTTACTGTATTACATTTAATGGAAGCCTTAACTTTTATCAAATTAAAAAAAAGTTTTGTAACTGTTTCTTCTTCGCATGTATATATATATATATATATATATATATATATATATATATATATATATATATATATATATATATATATATATATATATATATATAATAATAATAATAATAATAATAGCAATAATAATAATAATAATAATAATTAGAGATTAAAGTGCCATTATTTACAACAATCACAATAGTGATGAAGTAATTCAGAAGCACTAAACAAGTAAACTATGAGTCTGAAAAAGAGTTCATAAAAAGTTCATATTTTAGTCTTTTTTTGAATGTTTCTATAGAAGTTGAGTTTCGCGTGTTCAAAGATAAACCATTCCAAATTCGAGGTGCAGTCATACAAAAAGATTTTGAGCCTAGGGAGGTTTTTTGTTGACGACGTGTAAGTTGGCAACTGTCTAATAATCTTGCATTTTGTTTTGAAGTTCGGATTTCTAGGAGTTCAAATAAATATGCAGGAGATTTTGATAATAAAATTTTATATGTGATAACTGATATTTTATAGATTATTCTTTGATGTATTGGTAACCAATGAAGAGATTTCAGCAATATTTCTGATTTTAAATGGAAAGGAGAATGGAAAACAATACGAGATAAGTTATTTTGAATTCGTTGGAGTTTTTTAATATTTTTTTGATAAGTGCCAGATAAAATGCTGTTACAATAGTCAAGCTGAGAGTTAACGATGCCACAAGCAATTATGTTTGCAGTTTCTTTGGTCAGACATGGACGAATGTGGCGAAGTGCACGAATGTGGTAATTGCAGGATTTAATAATATTGTTTATGTGCTTGTCCATGAGAGCTTTGAATCTAGGATGACTCGAAGGATTTTCACTGAATTTATTGTAGTTATCGTGGTTCCAGAAAACGCAATATTCAAATCATTTTTATATTTGCTAGTTTGTTTTCTAGATCCAAATAAATTAGCTTCTGTTTTATTTGGATTAAGCAGAAGTCCATTTTCTAGAAACCATGTTGTTACTGCATTAGCACACACAGTGATTTTGTTGATGCTATCTTTGCCAGGGCTGAGGAAAGTATAAAGTTGGGTATCGTCAGCATATTGATGATGATTTGTACCAAATTTAGCTATAATACGATATATAGGTGAAACAAACATGGAAAATAGAAATGGGCTTAATACACTACCCTTAGGTACTCCTGTTGAACTTGCTATTAGTCTAGAATTTGATGATCCAATAGAAACAAAAGATTTTAGAGAGTGCAAATATGATGTTAGCCATTTTAATGCAATATCTGTGACACCAAAATTATTCTTAATACAGGTAATCAGCAGGCTGTGATCGATTGTATCAAATGCTGAAGATATGTCCAGAGATAGTAGAATAGTGGTCAAACCATCATCAATGTTTAGCAGGATGTCGTTGCATATGTTTAAGAGTGCTGTTTCGGTTGAGTGATAAGATCTAAAACCAGATTGTAGAGGATTGAAGTTGACAGATGATGTTACATGTGGATGAAGACGAGATAAAGCAAGCTTTTCAAGAATTTTCGAAATTGTATTGAGATTTGATATGGGGCATAGATTTGTTAGATCAAATTCTGCTAGTCCTGATTTTTTGGGAATTGGAGTTATTTGAGCAACTTTATATGAGGTTGGGAAAATTCCGGATTTGAATGAGAGGTCAGCAAGGTGAGCTATAATTGGACTGAATATTTCTGAACAAGATTGAAGGATCCAAGATTTGAAAACGACAACGATTTCACATCTGCTAAACACGTAAGTAATACAGTTAATGTAAAAAATACAATGAGTTTCATGAAAATGTCAATATTGATTTTTCCGTTAAATTTGCAAAGAATGAAAATAAATGTTCAAATTCGATGTTTGTTGGAATAATATCAAGTGGCGATGTCTTAGATTTGAGAGTTTTGATTATTTTCGACACATCTTTAGGTGTGACTGTACCAAATGTTGTTAAAATATCTACAGGGGGAGATAACTCTGAGATAAATTTAGATATTGGAGTTTTTGCAAGTCTTTCCTGGATAGTGTTCTTTATAATTTCGAGTTTGCGTATGAAATATTGACTTACTATATCGCATTTTGCTTCTGGTATTGTGTTATTAGTTTTAGAACTATTCGAATGTAGTAATTTCTTGGCAATGTTCCATGTTTCTTTTTGATCACCGTATGCTGAATTTAGTTTCGCCCTATAATGACTACATCTGGATTCGTGAATTGCTGCTGCAGCCTCACGGCATGCAGTTCGATATAATTTTTTATCTGATAAACTACCAGTTTTTCTATAACAACGTTCCAGTTTAAGACGCCTGATTTTTTTATTCTTGGCATCTGAAGATAACCATTGATCATCGTGTTTACCAATTCGCCCTGAATTTTTTCGAATGGGTGCTAAATGATCAAGAACAGTTGTTATATAAATTAGATTCCAAATTGTTGTCTATGGAGTAGCAAAGTGTTTACCCAAGCATTATTAGTTTTATAATTTTTATTATATAAAATCATGGCGGTCCAAAAAAGTATGAATAATAAAATAGATACATCCGAGATAAAAGATAAACTTCGAGTGAAAATGTTTTACTTTGCAGAGTTAACTCAAACATTTTTATGAAAAGTCCCTTACTAAGAATACGTTTCGCTAGTTTAGTTTATAATGAAACATGTTGCTTTTTTCATTAAATTGTAGAATTAGAATTATACTATCGAATTGCAATGAGTGTAATCTAATAATGTTTTAAATAAACTATTTAAAGTTGATTTATAACCGAATTATTCATATATAACAGCAGAAAAAAATTAAAAAGTAAAAATATTTTTATGATAAACAACTTTTTGACAGCCACTCTTTTTTAATGTATAATATAGGTTACAAACGTTAACATCGGAAAGTATGGCAATGTAAAACTTCTCCCTCCATGAGCGAAATAGACAAATATGAGCGTTTTTAACAATGTATCGTGCAACTTAAAATATTCAAAAATTTCAAAATTACTTAAATTTTTACCCATTATAATTAAAGAGTTTTTAAGTTTATTTAAATTTCTACTAGCGCAATATAATTAAAGAGGAGCTAATTTAATCAGATTTGTTGATAATTTAAAGTATTATGTTTGGAACCTGGCAAAATAAAAGTTTAACTTTAAAAGCTTTTAAAAATCGCGTTTTTTGCAAAAGTGTCCTTAACTACATCGAGTAAACTAAACGACTCAACATCATCACAAGAATAAAAAAGTTTATTTTATTGGATTGATATTTTAATTGTTAATACTGATTATTTTTTTAATTTTTATTTGTTTTTCTAATAAATTTTTGTTTGATTGCTTTTTATTTTTTTAATCAAATGTTGTTTTAATTACACATAAATTTGCGTATTTCATTCTCCCCAAATGTCAATGTAGAATGGAATTAATTTTTTTTTTGTAATCAAATAAAGTTTCATAAAAAAACTTAATAAAAAAATTATTTGATTTTTATATACTTAAATATAGCTCAAAATTCTCTTCAACTTTAAAAAAACAATTAAAATCTTTTTTCCGTAACTAGTTTCATAAAAAAACTTAATAAAAAAATTATTTGATTTTTATATACTTATATACTAAATACAGCTCAAAATTCTCTTCAACTTTAAAAAAAAATTTTAAATCTTTTTTCCGTAAAAAATAAATAATTAAAATCCTTTACTATTTCATTTGACCCAATTTTCCTCTATATACATTTAAATAACATTTTTAAATTTATAAAAGGTATGGTAAATTTTGATAAGATAAAATTATAAACTTAAGTCGGTTTTGTCTGTCATAACTCAAACTATATTTTTTAAGGTGGCTTGACACACCAAAAAGACAAAAAGTTGAGTTTGAGTCTAATAATATTAGTTGGTTCAGTATAAGCCATAAAAATATAAATATGGGTATTAAGACATATCTTTAAAAAAAACATTAATCGTTTGGAATCACATAGCTACAAAATAATATTTTCCGCATTTAAAAATTTGCCGCCTTCGGCTAGCGTATGCACAAATGTCGTAATTTTATACAAATGGGTGGCCTAAAATAGTTTTAAAGAAAATAATAACTTTAAATTTTTTTTTTATCTTTATGTCATTTAAACTAACAATTAAATAACTTATTTATTTCAAACACCTGGAGGGCGCTGCGTTTTGACCCAATTTTAAGGGTTTTTTATAAAAGTACAAATTTCGAATTTTTTTTTTTATATAGTTAAACTTAATAAATGAAAAATTCTTAAGATTTGTTGGGCCCTAGTGACTGTATTTTTATGGGGCAACTCTGAACAACTATCGCCCATGATTATATTATTTATTATTAATTATATTGTTTAGTTGGAGCAGGTAACTTGTAAATATAACCTATTACCCTCACAGACCTAATCAGTAAGCTGTTGAGTAGGCCATAAATACCTAAAAGGACACTAGTACTTCTACAAAAGGTTAGAATCTTGTTTTTTTTAATAACAGAATATTTTAAAAACTTTCTTCCAAGTCACTTTCTTCACAATTTTTACTTTTATATTTACTTTTTTATTGCTATATTCATTTCACACGTCGATGTTTTCATCTTCCAAATAATCATCATTAGTAGATTCTAATCGTTCATTATTTCATCTTCTAAATTAATAATTTCTGTTGTTTCCGATAATTCTAAGCCTGAGGGTTCTAGTTCTGTCAGTTTTATTGATTCCTTATTGTCCACTTCTAAAATTAATAAACTCTTTACTTTTTCTGGAAGTTTGAGCACAACTTTCTTCGTCCGTCTAGATTTCAAGGAGATAGAAAACTAATAAGAGAATTAGACGATCTCTTTGCACGGTTAAAGACGTCTTTAAAATTTGCTTGTCATGAACATTTACAAGCAAGCAACTCACGATGTCGTCTGTAATATTTGTTTCAGCATTCAGATGCTTCCTCGGAGAAAACTCCCAAGGGAACTGGCAAGTTTATCATTATTTCTTCACCATCTCAATGCAACTAAGACATGGTACACGTTTTTCGGAACAAAAATATATGTTTTTTCAAATACAATATATGTAAGTTTTTTCATTGAAAAGTATGACATATTTGGTATGTACGGGAAAGATTATGTTAACCCATTATTATAATCTGATAAAAGTAATGTGACTATAACAAATCGTCAAGCATAGTTTTATTTAAAAAAGATGTAATTTTCAACATAAAGTACCATGGGGCTTGGCTATAGAAAAGTCTATGGATTTGATTTTTTCATAAAAGCAAGTATAAGTGTTTGTTTTCAATGAATGTAACGTGGCATTAATAATAAGCCATTATTTGGGAAAATTATCCATGAAAAACCATTTTTTCATAAAAATTGAAGTTATTATTTTCAATACCACACCTGAATGAGTATATTTAATGATAATGTCACGTTAGATTCAGATAAGCTATGCTATAGTTAATTTTTCTACAAAAGCCGTTTTTGCATAAATAATTATAACTTTTTGCTCCATTCAAAAAACTGTTTTCGGTATTTAGCATCATATACCCTAAAAGAAATTTTAATGTGGCTCATATATGGGATTTGTATGCTAACCATATGCTTACCACTCTCTTTTATGGGATAGCGTTGATGCGTCCCATATGTGGCTATAATGTTTATCCCACTAAAACCACACTAAATAAAAACGAACGCCACGCTTCATTTGTGCATGAAAGTTTTATGTGGGCCATATGTGGAAAGCATATATTTTATAAGCATATATATATATTATATATGTTAGCTATATATTTACTACTCTTCTTTATGGGATGGCGTTGGTACGTTTCATATGTGGCTTTAATGTTTATCCCACTAAAAGCACACTAAATAAGAGCTAACGCCACACTCCGATTGCATGGAGAATTCATATTTATTCCATCACTATTTTATCTATCGAATTATTATATCTTATCAGTTTGCCCTAAATGTAATCAAAAAAACACTATAAAAACTTAATTATCACAAGAAAAATGAAATAAACAGTTATAATAAATATACAAATATACCAAATCACAATATATTAACGCAAATTTAAAATGTTAACCATTATATCATAACCATTATCTCAAAATCTGGAAACTAAAGGAAACCAGGAAGATTTTCATAGATCAAAATGGATTTAGGGAATATTTTTAAGGAAGATAAACTTCCAACAACATTTAATCTATGTACTTTCAACTGCCACGGTCTAAAGTCTAATTTTGAGTATACCAAATCGTTGATTCTCTCTCATGACATAACTTTTATATGTGAACACTGGTTATCGAATTTAGAATATTTCATAATGAAAAATATCAATAAAAATACCCACTCTTACATTACCAAACACATCTTACATAGATTACATAGCTTTGTCAAAGTATACGTCTCTTCTTTATTCCAATTGTTTCGTAATTCCTTTTTTATCTCAAAACATGAGTGATCATTTACCAGTATCGATTGAAGTTGGAATTATTGGACAATCTTCTCAAAAAAGCAATCAAAAAAACTCAGAAAAGTACAGCATTCTAAATTATACTTGGAATAACAATGATTTTTTACAATTATATAACAATCGCTTAAATACTAATTTTAATTTTCACAATTTTACGAATGACAATTACGATGAGGAACTTATCAAAGTATACACTGTTATTACAAAGTCGGCATCTTAGGCACTTAATCAATATTTATCCATGAAAACACCGTAATTGTATTCAAAATCCTGGTCACATCCGAATTAAGCCGAAGTAAAAATGTTCTTTCATTTTATTTTAAAAAATGGCGGGAAACTGGGTTCGTTAAAAACTTAAACTCGCAAATTTTTATTGGCACTAAAAAATTTCCGCAATGCTGTAAAAAATGATCAAAATAAAAACCTGTACAAAGACTACATTAAAATCGAAACGTTAAAAAATACAGATCCAAAATATTTTGGAAAACTTTCAGAAATATAAAAAAAGATGCAAATTCGAAATTGTATATCATAAATAATAAAAAAGATAAAGACTCGATCACGAAAGAACTTGCCTACACTTTTGAAAATCGATTAAACTCACATATACCTCTACAAATTTAAAAATTCCATCTTGCACAAAATTCGACGAGGTAATAATATCGGATGAAAATATAAAAACGGTTACTTCCCGCCTTAAATTAAACAAATCCGAGGAAGCCTTGGGAACATTAGCTGAGCTTTTAAAGAATGCGAGCAGTGAAGCACTTACAGAATGACTGATGAATTTTTTAACTTTTCTATTAATCATAGGCAGACCCCAAAATCGATGCCTACATCACTTATAATTTACTAAATCGTATAAAAAATCCTTAACTGATCCAAACAACTACCGCGGCATTAGCATCATTCCAATCTTTACGAAACTAATAGAATATCTTATCTTACTAATCTGTCCAGAAATAAAAGAAACTCTTCAATTCGGTTTCACTAGAAATAGCTCAACCTTACACGCTGAATTTGTTATTAGTAAAACAATTAAACACTACAACAACTCACCTGTCTATCTCTGTTCCCTAGATGCTGAAAAAGCGTTTGACAGCTGCAATTGGGATATTCTGTTTGAGAGACTGTACAATGATAAAAAAAACTTCCTCTGTATATTGTTAACACCATATCGTTATTATGCTATGAAAGCAGTGCTTCTGTTTCTTATCTAGATTGCAAATCATATCCTTTCTATCTAACGCAAGGAGTGAGACAGGGATCTATTCTCTCGCCTCATTTATATAACATTTATATTCAAAACCTACTAGAAACCTTACAAAAAGAAAGCGTCGTAGGTACATTAATCAATAGAAACTATATGGGTGTTGTAGCACCCGTATAGTTTCTATTGATGTATAACCCATATAGTTTCTATTGAATAGATAGCGAATATCTAATTTCCGGACGGTAATCCAAACCTTAATTCAATCGGGAATCCGTTTTGCTCACCCAAACTCCATTGTTCCGTTATATAAAACTTTAGCTGTTCCAACACTAACGTATGGTCTTGAGCTGTGTGAACATAAAAAAATGATAATGCAAAAGCTTGATACCCAGTGAAAAATAAAACCGCGTCCCACATGGGTTCCATGTGGTTTCCGTGTGGGATTTATGGGATTTATATGGGACGGATTTTCCCATGTGGTATCCGTTTGGAATTTTGCCACTTCAAACCCATATGGGTAATCCCACATGAGTTATATGTGGGAACCATATGGTATTTACCCACATCGGAAATCCTACGTGGGATTTGCATGTGATTTTATTTGAAGGCTGGAATCTGAAATAATCTTAAAAAAATAAAACAACATTATATTACTTTCGCGCTGAAGTTATATGCATCTTGTTTTAGCATAAAAATATCTTTAATTAATCTTAAAAAGTGGCAAGCAAGTATGTAAGTACTACAAATAATTTGTATCTCTCTTTATCAAATTAAGAGCTTTTGTGCAAATAAAAGTATTATTATGATTGTATAATAGTTGTTTTAATATCAGTATATATAGTAAAAGAAATAAGTTTAAAATGCACATAATTTTCCTTTTTCTTTAAGAGAAAAAAACGAAGGGAATGGATTCGATAACTTTTTAGGCTTAAAAACTCCTAATTTAAGATTTCATAAGTGACATTTGACTTACATTGAAGAACATAAACAGGAAATTTACAGAAACATTTCAATTTTTAACCTGAATACCACAGTGTTATTGGGAATTAAGACTCCTAGGTTTTTAAAGTAATATGAGTTAAAGTAATATATATATATATATATATATATATATATATATATATATATATATATATATATATATATATATATATATATATATATATATATGTATGTTTGTGTGTGTGTGTGCGTGTGTTTGTGTGAATGTATATATATATATATATATATATATATATATATATATATATATATATATATATATATATATATATATATATATATATATATGTGTGTGTGTGTTTGTATGAGTATATATATATGTATATATATATATATATATATATATATATATATATATATATATATATATATATATATATATATGTGTGTGTGTGTGTGTGTGTGTGTGTGAGTGTGTGTGTGTTTGTGTGAATGTATATATATATATATATATATATATATATATATATATATATATATATATATATATATATATATGTTTGTGTGTGTGTGTGCGTGTGTTTGTGTGAATGTATATATATATATATATATATATATATGTATATATATATATATATATATATGTGTGTGTGTTTGTATGAGTATATATATATGTATATATATATATATATATATATATATATATTTTGTTTATTTTGGTAATTTTTACATTCATGTTTCCACACATATATATATATATATATATATATATATATATATATATATATATATATATATATATATATATATATATATATATATATATATATATATATATATGTGTGTGTGTGTGTGTGTGTGTGTGTGTGAGTGTGTGTGTGTTTGTGTGAATATATATATATATATATATATATATATATATATATATATATATATATATATATATATATATATATATATATATATATATATATATATATATATATATATATATATAATCACAAATTTAATAATTTTGTTTAGATGAGTTACATAATTTATACCATAATAAATTATGATATGAAAAAAAAGGTTTAAAAGAAGACAACGATTAAAGAATATACAGAATTTTATATATAGAATATATAATAAAAGAAGACAACGATTAAAGAATAAATTTACTTATGGAAATTTAGATGTTTGTTGATTGGTTTCAAAATATTATAATATTTGTGACGAAAAAGTAAAGATACTTTTGCATCAAGTGTCTATTGCACTTAATGTGTACATTATTGTAAAGTAGGTTCTTACATTATTTGTTTTATTTTTTTGTTTAACGAATTTTCTTAATTGCGCACTTTTTCTCAAATTAGAATCTCATGAACGTATACAAGCTCTTGTCAAATTATCCATTATACATTAGTCATCGTAAGTAATAAATTAAGATTTAATTATGTGTGAAATAAAGTCCAAGTTGAAGTCATTAATGACTTCAATTTGGCATTTAATTAAAACTGCTCTTAACTAATAAGGTTGTTAATTATGATTGTTCTTCTTAATTTTTTAATCTATAATAACCATTTAATTTAGGTTGATTTAGGTTATTATTTATATTTATTTTTATTAAAATTTATTTATAGTTATATTTGTATATGAATATATATATATATATATATATATATATATATATATATATATATATATATATATATTAGGAAATGCTTGAAGAAAGTAGTTTTACTATATTCTTAATATAGTAAAAACCTTAGCATTGAACGAGCCAAAGCAATTTACTTTATTGATTGAATCGACAAAAGGTGTGTAAATCACAAAAAAACAAATAATATTTTTTACATTTATTTTTAATCTATTTATTAATAGCTATTATTTAAATATAAATTCATTTTGCAACACGTTTTTTAATTTTGCAGAATTTTGTTATAATAGTTTATGGTAAATCCCACATTATTTGTGGAGAACATCGCATATATTTGATCCTAAATAGCATCAAGTAGCTAATACCAGATAAATTTAAGCCTCTCTGAAAGCTTCCATGATTAATTTCGATGTTTCATTTATATGGTATTCGCTACTTTTATAGCATTTGAATTAGAATATGTGGCATTTAAGATTACAAAACATGTGGTATTTTCAACCTATAACCCGTGTGGGACTTACCATATATAACCCAGATACGCTGACCGTCAGGTCAAGTTATCCTGCTACTGGTAACATTTGATCTAGTACAACTTGCTGCATCTTAACGTCAGGAAGGGCGTTCAATTGTAAAACATTGCTTTGACTCTTTCATAACGGCATTTATATGCCGCTGTGGAGAACAATCCAAACCACACAAGTGTGGAAACATGAATGTAAAAATTACCAAAATAAACAAAATACATTGGACAAAATAATAATCCCCACATGGGTTACATATGGAAATAATCCACGCGTATCCCATGTGGGAAATACCATATGGAACCCATGTGGGATTTACTATATGGAACCCACATGGGACAAAATAATGATTCCCACATGGGTTACATATGGAAAAAACCCACGCGTATCCCATGTGGGATTTACCATATGGAGCCCACATGGGACAAAATAATAATCCCCACATGGGTTAGATATGGAAAAAACCCACGCGTATCCCATGTGTGCTTTTTCACTGGGTATAGTTAGAAGAAATGCACTTAAGTCACTCCTCGATGTTTCAAAACATAGCAAAAATTATATTCATACCTTATTTTTTATTGAAGATATATCAATTATTATACAACAAAACAAGCTAAACTTATATGAAAGTTGCATTACCCGATTATATCTTGTTAATGTTGCAACTAATTTGGCTTTAGATAAATACTTAACAAACAAAAGCTCTGATATATATATTTTTAATTTGAAACCAAGCTTTTTTGGGGGGGATTTCCTTTTCGGGGGGATTATTTTAGGGGGGATTTTTTTCAGATAAGTTTTTTCTTAAAACCTATTTTTTTTAGTTCAAAAAATTTAAATTAATGCATACACCTCAATTAAAAAGTGTGTGTGTTTGTTTACCTATACTTATTTTTAGTGACGCATTACTATACAATTTATTTGCGGTTGCGGAAATTTGCACTGTTTTTAAATATAATGGTGAGTTTCCACTCATCCGTTTTTCTACGGGGAACGGAAAAATAATCACGCGAGCATGCGCAGTTTTCTTCGGACAAATAAAAACTTTTATTACGCATGCTCACGTGATTATTTTTTCCTTTCCTATCCCGTTCCCGTTGAAAAGCCGATAAGTGGAAACTCGCCTTTACGTTGTTTAAGTATAACTATAAATTTGTATTCGTTAAGTATAACTCTGATATACAAATTTCACGGAAAGTTTATTTAAAACAACAATTCTCTAAAATATTCATTACAAAACCGCTCAAATATTTTTTTTTTTTAATTTTTTTTTACCAAATTATAAACATTTACAATTTTTTATAAAATATATTGGATACTAATATATAAGCAGAGCCGTACCGAACGACGATGACTTGGGGGAGAGAAGGTAAGACCTCTTATTACAATCTATAGATGTACCATTTAACTTGTTTACTGATGACATAGGAATAACCTATAGGGCTGATGTTTATATAGACTTATTTATAGTGACCTCATGAATTGTATTCAATTCTTTGTGGTTGACACTATACCACACAGAGCGGGCAACAATATAAATTCTGAACTTAATACCACTGGTTGGAATAATTTTGTTAAAGACAAGCATGATATTGATAGAAATGCATTTAAACTATGGTTTTTGCATGGGAAGCTAAAACATGGTGACCTTTTTGAGAAAATGAAGAGTACTCGTGCCACCTTTAAACTAGCTATGAGACACTGTAAGAGGCATAGTGAGCAAATAAAAGCTGATAAGTGTGCAGAAAATTTTTATAACACGGTTCCAAAAAAGTTTTGGAGCAGTGTAAATCGTATGACTGACAAAAAAGCGGTTAGTCACGTAGGTAGTGTGGGAGGAGCCACGGAAGACAATGATATTGCTTATATGTGAAGAGATCACTTTTAAACTATGTATAACTCTATAAAAATACAGAGTACAAAGACCACTTTGCTGAGAAAATCCAGCTACTTAAACAAGGTAATTTAGATAATAACATAAGTGCCAATGATGTTATCGCATCAATGAAAAATCAGGAAAAGCAGCTGGTCGTGATGGTATATGTATGGAAGCTTTTATATATGGTGGAAAAAGATTACATCTTCTGATTAGTATGTTTTTTAATCTCTGTTTAAAACAAGGATATTTTACCATCCAAGTTTTGTGAATCTTCTATTATTCCTTTGGTGAAATGCAAAGTGGCCAACCTAACTGATCAAAATCTTCAACCTAACTGATCAAAAACTTCTATTATAAAAACTTCTTGATTATCAGTTTGGTTTTAAACAGAAGCATTCTACAACCTTATACACAAGTTGTTTAAAGAAAGCTATTAATTACTACACATTTAGAGGTAGTCATGTGTTTACATCGTTTATAGACTTTAATTAAGCATTTGATAACATTGATTACTGGCTTCTGCTCTGTAACCTGCTAGATCAAGGAATATCAAAAAAATATTGTAAGTCATGAAAGTTTTTCATTGTTCTAAATTTACGGTGAGTAAAATATGATTTTTTATTGTAAAATATGTTATTAGGTTGTTGAATTGCATTAATATTTTTTTAAATTACGTTATAGCTACACTTATGGTCGTAAAAGATTAAGACAAATCTAATGGGTGCAATTATTCCACTGGCACCTGCGAAATTGCCAAAAGAACTGACCATCGCTGTTTATTGTATTTTTTTAAATGTTTTAGTTAAACAATCTAACACTTTATTATTTGTTATTTTTATTATTGTTTTATAAATAAGCGTCCTTATTGCTTAGCGACTAGTTAAATTATATTAGAAGAATTATATTTTCAAGAAGAATCTGTGTTTTTTTTTTTTTTTTTTTTACTTAAACTCGTATATTTCTTGAAAAATAACCCTACTAATATAACTATGAAATCTTTAAAACTCAAATAGTTAAATAAAACCCTAATAAAAATATGAATGTAACTAAAAAAACTATTAACTTAAACTAGAAAGTAATACTTAACCGAGAAAAAAAACCTAATCCTGTTAAGTACCTACTAAGTTCCGAATAAAAACCCTAGTAATCCTACTAAGTTTCCTACTAAAAACTTGCTAATCCTACTAAGTTTCCTACTAAAACTTGCTAATCCTACTAAGTTTCCTCTAAAACCTGCTAATCCTACTAAGTTCCTAGTAAGTACTCGGCGGGAACTTACTAAGTTTTAATAGGAAACTTATTAGGAACTTCGCGGGATTAGCCGGGTTTTTTTTCTCGAGTATTAAACCAAGGAAGTTTAATAAACCTCCTTTTATTAAATTATAATTAGGTTCATAAATTATGTCAAACAAACACTTCAAGATATCTTTATAATTATAGGGATATATCTCTTGCAAAACTGTTATAACAGACGCTTCGGTTGTTCATGATATTTTGAGATTATTCCCGAGAAAAAAAACCCCGCTAATCCTGTTAAGTTCCTAATAAGTTTCCTTCTAAAACTTAGTAAGTTCCCGCAGAGTACTTACTAGGAACTTAGTAGGATTAGCAGGTTTTAGTAGGAAACTTAGTAGAATTAGCAGGTTTTAGTAGGAAACTTAGTAGGATTAGCAAGTTTTTAGTAGGAAACTTAGTAGGATTAGCAAGATTTTAGAAGGAAACTTAGTAGTATTACTAGGGTTTTTACTCGGAACTTAGTAGGTACTTAACAGGATTAGTAGGTTTTCTTTTCTTGGTTAAGTGTTACTTTCTAGTTTTAGTTAATAGTTTTTTTAGTTAAATTCATATGTTTATTAGGGTTTTATTTAATTATTTGAGTTTTAAAGATTTCATAGATATATTAGTAGGCTTATTTTTCAAGAAATATACGAGTTTAAGTAAAAATAATAATTTTTACTTAAACACAGAATCTTCTTGAAAATATAATCCTTATAATATAACTTAACTAGTCGCTAAGCAATAAGGACGGTTATCTATAAAACAATAATAAAAATAACAAATAATTAAGTGTTAGATTGTTTAACTAGAACATTTAAAAAAATACAATAAACAGCGATGGTCAGTTCTTTTGGTAATTTCGCAGGTGTCAGTGGAATAATTGCACCCATAAGATTTTTCTTAATCTTTTACGACCATAACTGTAGCTATAACGTAATTTATAAAAATATGTAATTCAACAACATAATAACATATTTTATAACAAAAAAGCATATTTAACTTACCATAAATTTAGAACGATGAAAAAACTTTCATTATCATTGTTTCAAAGCTATTATAATCTAAAATTTCAAAATAAAAGTGTATGAAAATATGAAATTAAGTAAAATTTAAAAAAATTAAATAAGCCTCGTTTGTGTATATATATATATATATATATATATATATATATATATATATATATATATATATATATATATATATATATATATATATATATATATATATATATATATATATATATATATACACACATATATATACACACATATATATACACATATATATATACACATATATATATACACATATATATACACATATTATTTTTATATACATATAAAAAAAGGAAAATTTACAGTTGACGAAAAACAATTAATAATTGTATCTAAAATAAATATTTAATTAACTAATAGATATTAATCGTATCCACCTGTTATCCGCGATAACAGGTAGATACGATTTCTTTTCTCTTAACAAATTTATTTAATTCTTAAAAGAAACACTACACAAAGTCAAAATGGTACAAAAAGAAATCTGATTTAGATCATTGTAAACAACAAACTCTTGTCGCCATTATGAATTAAGTTCGATGTTTCATTAATTAATTGATTGCAAACAGAATCCTAAATAACAACTTCTAATAAAAAGAATATTGTGAAGTAAATATATAATAATACAAAAAAACATAATACAATTTCAAACTTTAAAAAATAGAAATAAAACCTAATCATGTTCTTAATTGTTTTGAATAACAACACTATAATAAAATTTCTTTGTTTTTTTTACAAGAGCGTAGTGAGTAAATTTGCTTGAATCAAAAACAGCTAATCCACACTTTTTCAACAATAAATAAGGAGATATTTTTGACAAAACATGCTTGATTTTGATAGGAATATTAAAAGAATCCATATGACGATGAAACTTACTTACATTTTTATACAATCGACATATACACACATTTGGTTATGTGCAATAAACAAAATTTTCACAATCACATTAAATTCTATTAAATATGCATAATATGAAGCTGATTTTAATTTTTTACCATAATGATAAGCATGAAAAGTTCTATCTGCAACTCTAAAACGGTTATAAAACTGATAAAGATTTAAGTCGACATTTAAATCATTCAAATCCATATTCCGCAACTTATCTGATATATTTTGTGCTGCACCTAACACAAAAGGATTCAAAGAAAAAGTATTCAAGTGGTCTTCCGTCTGAAATTTAATAAATTTTTCAGCCATTTGCCTTCCATGGCCTTTAGTTCCTGTAACAGACCTCTTTAGTTGGCGATTTACATTTTCAAACACCATAGCAGACGTTGCTGTAAGAGGTCCAAAATTTTTCACCTGGTCAGAGAGATGCACTAATGCATGGAAAGTGAATGTGCGAATACTTTCACCGAAATAGGAGCATAATGCCTTTTGAAATAAATAAACTAGTTGCTGACAAGCATCAAAATCATTTGATGAAACAATTTCATTTGATAATGTATAAATAGATGTTGAAAGCATTAAATAAAGAGAACAAATTTCAGCATTACCAAGTTTGTAAAACACAAATGGCCCATAATACAATAGAAAATACGTGTGCTCTTGAGCTTTCCACTTAACAAATTCATTAAGCAAATTTTTTGGCTTCCGTCGAAAAAAATGTGGCAATTCTATGGAGTCTATTAGACTAAAAAAATCTACAAGACTTTGATGAACATCTTTTTATATAAGAAAAAATCTTCTTAAATTTTTCTTAGTTTTTATTTTTTTATTTTGTCTTTTTCAAAATTATCAAAATAATAAATATTTGTCAGATGGACAAAAAAATTACTTTTTCTACTTGTTACAAAGATTTAGGTCAGCAGTTGCATGCCGGCGTGAAGCAAAAATAGGTTGGCTTTTGCGTTGGCATTACCAACCTGAATTTTGCAGGATGTATGTATATATATATATATATATATATATATATATATATATATATATATATATATATATATATATATATATATATATATATATATATATATATACATATATATATACATATATATATATATATATATATATATATATATATATATATATATATATATATATATATATATATATATATATATATATATATATATATGTGTGTGTGGCGGAACTACTGGACGCAGGACCCTGCATTGCGGGGGGGCCTACCAGCTATAGGGTGCCCTCGAATAAAAAAAGTTATACTCTCAATAATATTTATACTATAAAACTCTTTTCCGCAAAAAAAACATTCTTTTGCTTCTTATATATATATATATATATATATATATATATATATATATATATATATATATATATATATATATATATATATATACATATATATATATATATATATATATATATATATATATACATATATATATATATATATACACACACACACACTCAAAAAATTTCAAGTTCTTTATTTAAATTCAACATGATTAATGAATAATTATGCGTAATCACATTATATATAAAGAAACAGAAAATAAAATAGTTACCTGAAGCTGATTGATTGTACATGGTTTGAGATGGAACTAAACATATTGTGTGTGTGTTTATATATATATATATATATATATATATATATATATATATATATATATATATATATATATATATATATATATATATTACTAAAAACTTGAGTAACTAGCATTATATAACTATATACAGTAGTAATTAATCAAAATATCATAAAATTAAATTATGGAAATTTTAAATTAATTTATATAATGGCATTTATAACAAAAATCTTAATGTTAAGTAAATAAAAATTATAATACAAAAAATAACAATATTCAATAATTTTATAGTTTGTTTAACATGTTAAAAAGAAATGTTAATTCTTGTAAACAAGAGATAACATTAAAAATATATTTACCAGTAAAAAATGTTTATATATATTTTAAGAGAGATTTATTTCAATATTGATCAATTTTTAATGTCAAATGGTTTACTCCCTTTTAGTCTGACTAAAACTTTTAGTCAAGCTTGAAGTGAGTGGTTTTTTGACATAAAAATTTGACTTTTTAAATAAAATTACAAATAAAATTTTAAGGAAATTAAAAATAAAAGTCTTTCTTTATACTAAAACAAAGTGACAAATCTTTATTAATAAAGATAAGTCACTTACTCTTTATAGTAAAAAGAAATAGTAAAAAGAAAGAGTGACAATATAATTGTTTATGATTTATGATTTTATGTTTATTAAACAATATAAAATCATAAGCAATGAAAATAAAAAAAATCAGAAATAAAAATAAAATATAATTTAAAAAAACATCACCATGCATATCACTATGAATCAGAAAATGCTCGAATTGATACAACAGAAAATGCTCGAATTTATATAGAGTTAAAATTAACAATTAAAACCACATTATAACACATGAACAAATATTCATCAAATAAACTGCAAACCACGCAATCATCCCCAGATGTTCTTGAGCTTTTTCTTTATAGAATTACAAATATTAATTAGTAAAACTATTGAATCTAAAAAAGCTGACTTGTCTTCCGTGTGAATAAATAAAAGATGGCGTATAACAAAGACGATTTTTTATACTTGTTTTATTTTTGAAAACTTACTAGGAACTTACTAAGTAATTCGTTTAATCCTGATAAGTACTTAGTAGGAACTAAGAGTACTAAGATTAGCAGGAAATTCATAAACGTCATTTCACTAATGGGAAACTTAATAGGTTTAGCCGTATTAAGCGAAAACTTACCAGGATTAGCCGTATTAGCAGGAACTTAACAGGATTAGCAGGACGTTAAACATATTCCTAGTGGTATTAGCGGGTTTTTTTTTCTCGGTTTACAAATTTTTTTTGCATAAATTAAATAGCAATAAATAAAAAGTTGTTCGATTTGCCACGAACAACTAACCAAATTTGTTTATAATTATCAGTTTTTTTTTTTACGAGTTTGCTGTTCTATGCCTTAGTTGCATTGAGATGTGCAAGAACTTCGTGAGCTGTTGACGGCATTTTATACCAATCATAAAGATCTGAATATCAACAGTATACTGTTTTACAGTGTAGCTCAAATAACTCTCGATTCAATGTTTGCTGACAACTTATTACAATTAAGATATTTTTGAACATTTCAATAATTGTCTTATCAATCCCTAATACTTCGCTTAGTAACTCGGAGATGCTTCCTTTTGAATATTTATTGCTGGATAAATTTTTTTTTGTTATTGTATACTAACTTGATTTCTTTAGATATTCTCCATTTTTAAAATTCGAGTCGGTATGAAATATGTAAAAACACTCTAGAAATCTTATTTAAGCATGTAACGGAGATATCCCATAGATAAGTGTACCTTTTTTTTGCTGTAAATCCACTTAGAAAGTTCTTCAAACAAGTCATTGCAGTTAGTGTCGCTCCGTAAATACAACAGCACACAGTGGTCATTTTTGGGGTCAAAATCTGCAGAAAATCCCAAAAGTGTCATGAAAAGATTTTTTAAATTTATGGTATTCATCAAAAAATAGGATAGTTGGAGAGCCATAATATGAGGTTTAAGAGAAATTGAAGTAAAAATAGGTTGGCTATGAGTAGAACAACAGGAGGAAAAAAGTAGTGAAAAATTTACTGAAAAATGACTATTTTTAAAGTGGGTCTTAGAAAATAATGGGTGAAAATTTTCAAATTTTTGTTTAATAATTTTAGTAATACATATAAAAAAATATTAGAAAAGTAAAAAAAAAAAATTTAAAAACTATATTGCTATGTATAGTAATGATTTTTTCAAACATCAGAAAAAAAGTGTACTACATGTCAAAAACAGTGCTGCAACTTTTTCCCAACAAATCCCAACAAATTGGGACCAAATCAGGTGAAAAGAGGAAATAAAGACCTTTAAAATGACACATGAAATTGTTGCGGGGAGTTGCGGGAGCTTATTTTATTGACTTTTAAAGTTCGCGCAAGCATGTGTGCGCGTGCGATCGTAATTGTCGGCGAGCGTAAAAATTCGAAATAATAAGCATCTTGCACTTTGGCTTGCGGAGTTTTGATACAATTTGCAACATTGGATATCGCCAAGATGTCAAAAAGTTCCATCTTCATATGAGCCCTGATGAAAAAAGACTGGTTGCAAATCGGGAGACACGAGTCAAGCAAGAATTTCGGGAGCAGCTGGGTCTAATTGTTGACCAGAAGCGGGATGGAGGTCCTGGCACTACAACAACAGGAAATGTTGCTCGCAAAGCTTTTCAAAACCCAGGTAGCTACACTTGCAAGTTTTGGTACTTTCACCAAACTTTTTGGGAAGCATTCAGAAATAATTTAGTTTTTAGATATTATGTCTTGTCAAGTTGCATGAGCATCACATCATAGCTTTGCTGTCAATTTGGAGAAATTCAAATCTTGATATCTGTATATTCCTACATATTTTCTTTCTTTTTTAGAAATTGTTGCAAGAATCTGTGATGTCCCTGTCAAACTGGTTGAAAATCTTGGAACACTCTGGTCTGCCCTTGCATCTGGATATGCCATTGATCCAGACAAGTTTGGAGTTCTGTGTGAAGAGACTGAGAAGATTTATATTGACCATGTAAAATGGTACTGGTTTTCCCCAACAATTTACAAGGTTCTGAAACATGGAAAACAAATCATTGAAGCTTGTGTTCTTCCAATTGGAATGACCAATGAGGAACCAGGAGAGGCTAACAACAAATTTCTTCGAAAAATCCGTCTTTATCATGCTCGAAAACCATCCTGGCTCAATGGCATGTCTGACCTTTTCTTGAGACTGATGGACATCAGTGATCCAAAGATACAGGTAATTTTGGAATTAAGCATATCCAAAATTTTTCCAATTTCAATAATTTTTCATGCTTATTTAATTTAAATGATTTCTGAAACAGGACCTTTTTTCATTTGAATTTCCCAATTTAGCTTTGATAGCAATATTTTCTTTCATCCATTAAATGTTATATATAATTTTTAGGCTTATGTCCACTGCAAGAAAAAGAAGCACAACTCAGAGATCTTGCCTGAACCCATCAAGAAACTCTTGAAGATGCCGGAACTTCAAATTTCTAGAGATGCCTCTGATTCAGAAGAAGAATAAAGAAGTCAAACAAAGCAACCAAAGCCTCTCATAAAAATTAAAAAAATTCTCATACATTCCCAATTTTGTTATTTATCTAATGTTATTAGTTTCAACCAGATCAAACAAAATTGATATGCTTAACTCTATGTAAAAAAATATTTTCTTTGATGTAAGCACTTATGTTGTGCCTAATATAACCAACTAGAACCTCATTTGTGTTAATTTTTTTTAGCAATACATTTAAAAACTGTCATACATGATGGGCAGGTTGGTAATCTCCCTGTGGGTATTCCTCATGCTTAAGTAAAAATGTTTTCTGCCATTATCATGTTTGATATGATATTTGTGTGAAATTTCTTCTATTTAATAAATCCATTTTGATCTTTAAGGTAATGAGACACATAATTCTTTTTTGCAACCTAGCATTAATTGCAAAGTGTCAAATCTAACTTAAAAAAGTGAATATTTTATTTTTTAAAGCAATTTTTTGGGTTATTTATAATTTTTACTTCAAATATGTTCATACCGGCTCTTTTTGAACACATAAAAAATGTTTTAGATTTTCTGCAGGTTTTGACCCCCAAAATGACCACTGTGCAGCACTGCGTTAATGATGTGCTTGTTATAATTGTTAAAACCTTTCCATCAATCATGCACAAAATAAAATTGAAATCAATAATAACAAACTTTCCATTAACCAATTAAATATTCACTGAATGCAAATCCAAAATTTCATTTCCAATTTGACTTTTTATTCTAAAATGACTGCGGCAGTTTCTTTGATAAAATGAAGTTCAATTGGCCAACAAAATCTTACGCTAAGAGCATTAAGTTGGTCCACAAAAAATTATTTTTCTAACTTGACACACTAAGCCTCAAAGGTGTTGTTACAACTGCAAACATGCTTGAACCTTGACTATCAACAGAATCGGAAAACGCTTGGTTGTACAAAGCCATGTATATCCATCCATACTCCATCACAATTAAAAGCAACATATTAGGTTATTAATGATACCCAAATAATCCATTATTTCTTTTTGCCTCATTTTTACAATTCATTTTGACTTCCAAGTGATTATCCTGTGGACCACACAACTTAAGTGCTTTTTCAACTGTTGAATAAAATAGATATCTTATTTTATATGCCTGTTGGATTCGTTTATAGCCAGATACGTTGAGATCTACATCATTTATAGTTGTAGCGGCTTCTTCAGCTGTCATTTTATTGTTGTCGTTAGTCAACTGAACATATGGTGTGAATCTTTATGATTTTTTTTTAATTTTTTTATATTTAGGTGCCCCAAGAAGTCCTAACAGTTTTGTCATAGAGCACTGCGGAAGTGAATTTAACCAGGAAGTTCACGTCTCGTTCCTTACCGTGACGCGAAAATATGTCCAGAGCTCGTTTCGAACCTGGATCTCCTGCTTCTAAAGCAAGCGCTCTAACCACTACGTCACGGCCGCACAATTTTAATGACAATTTTAATGACACATTTTTAATGACATGTGTTAACACATTGAATAAAGAAAAATCCTTTTGAATATATACTTTTCTACGGGCTATAAGTAATGATTTTTCAATTAAATCAAAATTTGAATTTGTATGCTTTTCTGCAATTATCCTATTAACGTTTATTTATCCTATTAATTATATTAAAACTATTTATTAATTAAAACTATTTATTATCCTATTAACGTTTATTTATCCTATTAACGTTTACTTCTCTTACTCATATGATCAAAATCTTTTTTTGGTCGACCTTTTTGTGCCAATTTACATTTAATTAGATAATTATTTAATTAGGTAATTATTCGACCAAACAAAGATTTTGGTCAAAATTGTTTTGGTCGAATTTTTGTGCCAATTCCAATGACGAAAAGTCATTGGAATTGGCACAAAAATTTAAAAAAAAGTTTTCAAAAAAATTTTCAAATTTTTGATTTAACCATTTTTCGTGTTTCTTTTCAAAAAAAAAAACTGTGTTTCTTAATGAATCTCTCCAAAATCTTTGGTAATTCGATTCAACTCCATTTAACTTTGTACCAAGTTTTTTTTTTTTAACATTACTTATACAAATTCTAGAAGTTATGAAAAGTAAAGCATTGGTTATATTTTCTTCTTTTGTTGAATATTTGAAACAGCTAATAATATCATTAGTTGTAAAATCCATTGCTTTTAATTTTAGTAGAATATATAACTTTTTATTCTCTTAACTTTTAGTTTTTTTTTTAAATTATGTTAATTTCAAGCATGGGATGTTAATTTTAAGCATAGGATAATATCACATATGCAAATAATTACCTAATTAAATGTAAATTATCAATAATAGACTATCATTTTCAATTGATTATTGAATACAAAGTCTTATGTAGACTTTTGATCAATTATCACTTGTGAAAACAAAAAATGAAAAATTGGCTATTATCCAAATTTCAAATAGAAATCCCGGTGGGAAATGAGCTGTCGACTAGCGAGCAACTATAGCGACTAGCTTTATAGTGATTTTGAAGCGATTTTTTTTTCCAATTTTATTTTTTGCTAATATCTTTAACATCTTAAAAAATTCGATTTTTACTGTTGAGTCTGTTATAATTATGAGGATAATTGAACTTTAAACATTGCGATTTTGTAGCAATGTGTCGCTAGTTAAATATCTTAGCTTTGTAGCTGGCTACAAAATATCTACAAATCTATAGCTGGTTGATAGCTACATAT